AACTTATGATGATGAAAAAATATTGATGTCCCGTGGACTGCTAGCAGAGTGAACAGCTCAGCCTTAAAAGAACAAACAAATCACGATGCTCCTTAGAGTGAAGATGGATAGACTTCATCTTGCTTTCTTTGCCTACCAATTGCTATGTCACGAGGAACGACCAGTTGCAATATCATGTCTCATAAAATAGGCCAGAAACATGAAGGAAATGTGTGGTTTCAGGAGTGTGGTAGTTACCTAATTTCATGTCGACTTGAAGCTATATAAAAGTGTAGGGGTGGTGTTCAACCTGTCATTCAGGTCACTGCCTGATGGTGCCTCCTAATGGGTGTAGCCTTCTCATAAGGAGGATCCTGGGAACCTCCCCTTCTCTCTCTGCCTCCACCTTCCTGCCAGCTGTCTCTGGTTACTGCCAGAGCCCGGTGGTGAGCTGTGCCATTGGATCCACAGGACTTTGTCCCTACCGGCCCGTGATCTTCCTGCATTCTGCATCATTGCATGTGGCTGCGAATCTGATTAGGGGATTATGGACTTGATCTGGCCTGGGCCAGGATGTTTTGTTCATGGATATTTACGTCTGGTTATAAAGTTCTCTTACACATGTATGAGTGGCTCTGAATTTGTTTCTCTAGTCAACCCAGCCTCGCACAAAGAGCTGGAGAGAGACAATAGTCTCAACAATCGTGAGCATGGCGCAGTTGCGGGCCATGTTTGGTTCTGTTAAGATGCATAAGGTGGCCATGATTCAGAGACAACAGCGATGACTAGAGACCATGTTCATTTTTCTCATTACTATCTCCCTGACACATCATACCAAACGCCAAATGCATTGCCGGGGGGTCAATTCTGACTCATGGCGACCCAATAGGACAGAGTAGAACTTCCCCCTGTGGGTTTCCAAGATTGCAACTCTTTATGGGAGCAGAAAGCCTCATCTCTCACCCACTGGCACCTCATCAGGCCTCAATAAATATTTTTGAATGACTATTTGATTGAATGGGAGGCAAAGAAGTGGTGAGTGTCAGTGAGTGTCAATGACTCAGGAAAGGTGCACATAGAGTGAGGACGTGGGGGGTGATACAGGGGTTTACACTTCGTTTTCTGTGCTAGCAAGCTATGGGAACATGTCGAAATGCTGATGGGAAGGAGCCCACCAGCAGGGGGTTGAAGGCCAGGAAGCTTCAGGAGGTGATTGGCCTTATCATCCTCTTCAGAAAGAAAGGCCATCTCTTCCTCTCATCCGTACAAGAGGGCTGTGACTGCCACGGGCTTGGTGGCAGGAAGTCCACACACCTTGCTCATGGAAGCAGCAAATCTGCATACTCCGAGAGGCTCAGCATACTCCGTGGACATCACTTTGCAAGGCAAGGAAAAAAGAGAGCAGGCGTGTTCTTTGTCACTGATTCGACTGACGCACCACAGAGCAAAATACCAAGTTTCCAAAGCAACCCAGTGAGGGAGAGCCGAGACATGAGGTCTGAATGTTCTCTAACTGAACAGGCATCCTCTTCAGACTGCGCCACAGTGTGGGAAAATCCTCGGGGCTCACTACGTGCCAGGCCTGTTCTAGGACTTGACCTGCAAGTCCCCGGATTATGATACCATTTTGCAGGCGAGGAAACGGAACCTCAGGCAGGGTAGGTCATGCAGCTCAGAAACTCCAAACCCACTGTCATCCTGTCGATTCTGACTCATAGCAACCCTGTAGATCCAAGTAGGACTGCCCCGGTGGATGTCCGTAGCTGTAAACACTTTATGAGAGCAGAAAGCCTCCCCTTTCTCCCACAGAGAGTCTGTTGGGTTCGAACTACTGGCCATGCTGTTGGCACCCAGATGTATAACCCACTCTGCCACCAGAGCTCCAGTCACACAGCTAGTAGGTGTCAAAACTAGATTTTTAAACCCTAGTAGGGACAAAGTTAGCTGCAGAATCCATGTTTTCACTTCAGCCATTCTGCTATACCTCTCTTAAATAAATAATAAATAAAGCCCCTTGCGAGTGGGTCCATTTGAACTCTTAGAAGCCCTGTGAGGAAGAGTAGGGCTGCCTCGTATTTCCAAAGTCATGCAGCTTTATTTTAAGAAGCAGACTGCCGTATCCTTCTCCTCTGGAGGAACTGACACGTCCGGACCACCAACCTTTGGGTTAGCAGCCACCAGTGTTCCGGCTTCTCTAGAAGGGAAGGAGAAGCCAGGATGCTCAAGACCTGGAGCG